ATATAAAATAAAATGATACAAATTTACATACTGAAAGTGTAGTAAATCTTAAGTATGATAGTTATTTAGCGACTCAAAAAATGCTGTTAATGAAGTTTCAAACAATTTAAGAATTTTTATGAACATTTAGCCAGAAAAATAGTTTTATTTGACAAAAAACAATTGCTTGAAGGAATATGGTACCTTAAATGAAATAAGCAACAGTTTGGGTAATGTTTTTACTATCACTATCAGACAAAAGTATGCACCTAACTTTTAAATAATAATTTCAAAAGATGCTTTTGCATCCTTTTTAAACTTTACTTAACAAGAGGATAATTAATATCTAATGAAAGCATAATACAATTTAAATTAATGTCATCACTTGCCAATTTATTATTGTGAATCCTTCCTTTAGTTACAGAGAAAACATTTTTCTGTATCCAGTAGAAATAAGGCATTTTCACGTTTCCTGCAGGATCAGTTACGGAGCAAAACCGAACTGCTACGACCAATGCTCCACTACATACGGCGTCCAGAGTTTGTATGACATTCCTGTAGAAACATTTGTTATATTAAGTAATATTTTTTTCCGAGAAATACAATTAAATAAATAATAATGTGCCTGCACAGCTTTGAATAATATTATGCTGATAACCACAAGTTATTAGTAAAGAAACAAAAAGTGTAATTTCCGATTAATTAATATGTAAACGTTAATTAAATTGATGTATCCTACATAACGAAAATAAAATTCTTTTTAAAATATTTATACAAACAGAAATATTAAGAGAACTTATTAAAATATCATTAAAGAAAGCGTATCAAAAAAAAATAGTTGTCTATATTGACAAAACAGTATTGCATGAAAATAAATTAAAATAAAACAAAAATACTGGTATGCAACGGAAGAAAAAGCAGGCAAAGAGCGAATATAAAGGTAGGAGAGGGAAAATTAGAAGAAGTAGCTGATTTTAGGTATCTAGGAAATAAGATAAGTCAGGAAGGAAGGAGTAGTAGGGATAAAAAGCAGAGGATAACGCAGGGTCGAGTCAGCAATGTTTTATTTATAAAAATAGCATGTTAGTGTTTAAAAATAAATGAACAAAATAAGAAAAAAACGTTTCTTTTCATCAATTTCATTTTATGACAGCCAAGTTTGCTTACTTTAGATTTGATTGAATATTTAGTTTCAACCACAGGAAAGAAAAAAAAGTATTTCNGTTTTGATACTGAACAGTGTGATAATGCTAATAAGCAAAAATGTTTAATAGCAATGCTGAACGTCACGCAAATGATTAATATGTCTGATTAATTCATATAATATAGAAATGTATTTTAAACGGAATTGCTATTGGATTTAATAAATTAATACGTATTATAATCTTGTTTAATATTATACCTACTTAATACTATGGAAAATGGGAATATACATTTACGATAAATGATTTAAAAAGTTTATGTACTGATTTATTTAAACCTGATTAAAACTAACTAACCGTGTTTTAACGTAAAATATTAATTAGCATATTGAGAAATTTGGAGAGCTACAGTGTGAAAAAGGCTCGTATTTCACAAAAAGTAGTTGTTTGTACAAGACACATCAAATTTCCTAAAGACAACATATGATAATATTTATCAACTTGGGGCTGCAACGTAGAGAAATAAATATTAGGAAAAGAGTCAGTCAGGGATGAACTACTTTTTAATCTACATATCGAAAACGCGATCAACATCATTAAAGACAGTACAACTCTAGTGGTAGATACACAGGGGAAATAGATTAGTACGCTTAGATTTGCAGAAGATATAGCAATACTAATATTGACAAAACAGTATTGCATGAAAATAAATTAAAATAAAACAAAAATACTGGTATGCAACGGAAGAAAAAGCAGGCAAAGAGCGAATATAAAGGTAGGAGAGGGAAAATTAGAAGAAGTAGCTGATTTTAGGTATCTAGGAAATAAGATAAGTCAGGAAGGAAGGAGTAGTAGGGATAAAAAGCAGAGGATAACGCAGGGTCGAGTCAGCAATGTTTTATTTATAAAAATAGCATGTTAGTGTTTAAAAATAAATGAACAAAATAAGAAAAAAACGTTTCTTTTCATCAATTTCATTTTATGACAGCCAAGTTTGCTTACTTTAGATTTGATTGAATATTTAGTTTCAACCACAGGAAAGAAAAAAAAGTATTTCGAAAGTTGAAATTAAAAATTTAGATATTAAATTGTAAAAACAAATTTTTCTGAAAAAAAGCAAAACCATCCCAGTAACCAAGGGCCCCCCATTTACCAGTTAATCCTCAACCACCTACGAACTTTCATATTACGCATGGACGTAATTGAAAGCCGTAAGCAGCTGAAAATTAACCGATAATGAGCGTTAGCCTGGCCCAGCCGGATGATTAGTAATATACGACGTCTAGGCATATCCCTCCAGCTAATTCCTGAACCGTGCATACACCTATGGCCACTCAGTGTAACGGCAGTACAATAGCCTTCGAGATATAACCCTATTACCACTGGTATGACTAACTAGCCGTTCTTTTATACCTCTCTCACGGCTTGAAAGTGCTGTGAGAGCTAAACATCGAATAGTTTTATTTTCTCAATTTTACAAATAATTAAACTTTTCACGCTATCAATACTAATTAAATGTTAAACTGAAGTAATTTGTAGAACAATTTTTCTCTATCCGTATAAAACAGCAATTAAATTTAAATAAACAGATCAGCGCCACCAAGATAAAAATTTAACTTCGATTTGTGAATATAATAGCATAAACGCGTTAAAATATTTATTGTTGTCGTTTATTTGTGTTCTTTTGGGTAAAAAATGCAAATTTAATTATTTTTTCCTAAAATTATTAGCTATTCTCGAAATAATTTAAAAACATATTAAAATACATAAATCCAAAATGAGAAAAATATCAAAATGATCACTAAATCTAATTGAATTAGTCGTCGGATAATATATCAAAATTTCTGGTATTGAGATACGTTGGAATATTTTATGTACGATTAAGTTTAAAATGATGTTTTCCTTTTTATTTTCAAAGCAAATTTCCAATTGATCTCAATACAACTGAAATTCGTAAAAAGGAAAAACAAACCAGAAATCACAACAAAATTTTCAAAATAAAAATTAAATCTGAATCACTCACCACAAAGATAATTGTCACCTTTAATTTGTAATAACAAAAGCTATCCACTTTCTCACTATATAACAACACTATTGTTTTCAACTGTTTACACGAAGATAAAACGGTTTTAATTGATTTTAATGCATACTTTACTATCTGAACCGACAAAACTGTTACATATTTTCGAAAATTNAAATATTAACAGTTGCTTTCTTTAGAGTTAGAAAAGGAAAAGTAAAATTAATCATTAGTATTATAACTAAAAATCAAGAACAACTTCAATTTTGTAATTTACAAGGTAACTAACTCCAAAAAGAGTAAGAATTCGTTTGTTTATCAGAGATGAAAAACACTAAATATAAGATATAATACCGAAAATAAACAAAATACTGACCGTTGTGGCCTTAAGGAGGAGACCAGTATACCCCATTTCCAAGAAATCATCCCCATTACCTCAGAATGATGATGAACCAAATAAAGTATCTAAAACAAAATTAAATAAAATACTGACCGTTGTGGCCTTAAGGACTCTGTCCTGGAGGAGACCAGTATACC